TATTCACCATGAAAGTATGCTCATCCATTTCGATGTTCGGCGAGCCCCTATGGGGAAAGCAACATTAAATTGTAATGCAATTTCAATTAAGGAGAAATTAAGGGGATAAGATTGTCAGCAGCAATTTTATTAGACGAAAATGATATATTACAATGTTATTATAAGCTTATCATTATATAATTTATTTTTTATTTAAAATTTATCTATAAAATAATATGTCATAATTATAAATTTACAATAATATTATATGACAATTTTAATTATATATATTATTGTTTTATTGAACTTACTTTCCCCACCAAAGTTCATCTTCGGTTGTTTTGTCCTTGACAACCCTCTTGTCTCTAGGTGACCGGCCAGTCTTAGCTCCGGAGAGTGTTGCTAACGCACCGGTAGATGTTATGAACGATCCTTTCTCATACTTGATAGCATGTTCATAAAGTTCTGTGATATATAAAAATAAATTAGCAAATCAAATCTGTATAAGACTCGAATCCCGAATCCATGGGTTCGAGGTTCTGCCTGTCCATTACCAATACGGAGTTGATTCACACATATATGATATAAGTGGAATTGAAAAAACGTACCAGCCGGAGATAGATTGTAAAGGACGTGAGTAAATTTGAGGGCACTGTCACTGGGAGATGGGGTGTAATGGTGAACATGGGTCAGGTCCCCTTTTACCACCTTCGGTCCTGTCTCTCTTGTCAGCGACGCCAGTGAAGCGCTGATAGATTGGAGCTGCTGTCTCTGGCGTTCATCTTCGACGGTGGGGGGGCTGGTGAAATCCCCCTGGGCACCTCTGCTGGGTGTTGAGGGAGCGGATGGTTTCTTCTTCTGAAGAGAGTGAAGCTGGTCAATCGTCTGGGCTTTCATTGGAGGTGCACTGTCGTCGTGACACACCTGCATCTCACTCTTTTGCGTTTGGATGCTAGGAAGCTTGTCGCTCGCATTCTTTGCCATGTCTCTGTTTGTTTATCAGGAAAACAATGGGATCAGATTTAATTGCTAAATTTTTAAACTGTCATAAAAAATCTAACACCTTCCTCCTGTTGCAGTATGCAAAAAGATCAAACAATTTATACAGAACTGACTGAGGAAAAAAAAAATAACATTCCAAATATTGTGTTTAAAAAAATGGAGGAAAACAGAAATTGAGGATATGGATTGAATCTGTTCTGGAAACAGTGTAGAGACAGTTTGTGCGTGCGACAATGTACGTGCTATTAGCTGGAAATGCTTGACATCTGTGAATTTTCTCTCGATGCAAATTTGTTTATTGGGTTTGCTTTTTCTCGTGAAATTTTGTTTGGAGTCATATGTTACTTACTGAATTGATTTGATCATAAGCCTTGCGTGAATAATGGTTAAAAGAAGAAGTTGTCAAGATGCAACTGATTTCCTTCATTGACTTAGTACAATTTCCTCTTATAGTTTCATAGGGATGCAGCTTTTAGTTTTTAAATTAGTGCATTTTTTATACATTAAATTATGAATTATATAATATAAAATATTTTTTAAAAAACATTTTGACTCATAATTTTAGTTTGAAATCTTTAATTTAAATAAAAAAAATTGAAAAACAGTTTAATTTTTTGATAATAAATCTTATAAAGTACATATAATATCAAATAAATAAATATATATACAATAAAAATTAATAAAAATTATGTTATATTTTATTATCAAAAACACTATTAATAAATCATTTTCCATTAAATTAAAATTAGAGGAGAACAACATAATACTTTCAAGATACGTGCAGCCTTACTTTCAGGAATTTTGTACTTTAAGTTAGAAAAAAAGACTAGTATAAAAAAATTTTGTATTAGCTAAGAAGAGCACGTTGGATCCACGTAGGTCAACCGCGTAAACGTGTTTTTAATCCAAGGAATGCTATAATCCTGCTTTATGCACTACTAAACATACGTGGCAAAACTCAAGTTTTTTTAGTTAAACTCCCAATTTAATGCTTCAGTTATTATATAAACTTTTGAATTAGTCCTTAAATTAAAAAAATTTTTGATTTGATTTTTAAAATTTGCAAATTTAACTCTAACTTGCTCCTTCTATTTAAAAAATAATTGATGTGTATATTACTTGATAATCACATGCCATGTTAGTAATGAAATATGTTAGTTGTTTTTCAACAAAGAGATTAATTTAAAATTAAATTTAAAAACTTTAAAGATTAAATTAGAAATTTTTTAAATTTATAGACCAATTTCAGATTCTATATAATAGTTGAGGGAGCAAGTTAGGGTTAGACCTTTTTTTTCTCTTTTTATTTTTCCCTTAAAAATGAGAAGGAGCAAGCAAAGTAGTCAAAGTAAAGCTGGGTTGGACTCTAAGCCTATCAATTTACAAATCTTGATAAGCCCGTTGAATTGGTAATTCTGGGTTCAAAGAATTTAGCTTTTCTTTATTATTGGGCTTACACTAGTATAAACCCGAAAGAATTCCTCTGGAGTGTGGGCATTGTTGATTTATTTTCCAAGAAAAATCCTTGTTCCTCCTTTGGGAGAAAAATGTTCATTATCACTTTAAAGATCACAATCCTCTACGCAGAGCTCGTTGTTGAGAAATAGTTGATAATTTTTTTCTTTAATAAAGTGAATTAGAGTGTTTAAAATATAACAAAAAAAAATTAATTATCAACAATTGGATATTCATGGATAATAGAACCAAAATTTATGCTGCTGCCAAAAAAATATATATTGGGCTAAACAACAAACATGGTGTTAGTTTTTTTCTTCTTTTTTTTTCTTTTTTTTTTTTTTTTTTGGAAATTATTAGAAACATAGTGGTGGTTGGAAAGTTTATTCATGCACAAATCAATTCATTTCCATTGTTCCAAAATGGAAATTTTTAGAAACAAGTTGTAATGTAGTCTTAGACTACACCGTAATACATACCAAAATGAAAAATGACATTGGATTCAAGCAAACTTTAGCTGAAATTTTTAAAACCCTACTTGCGACTTGGTTGTGTAAAAGCTGTAGGAACAAAGGAAGGGGTAAAGCAAGAGTCAGGTGAGCAGTTGGACATGTGTTTAGGCTTGGTGCCTTTGTTGGCTGTTCGGCATAATAATCATGTGTTGTAGCCTGCAGGCAGCCTTTGGCATCAAGGCAAGATTGATTCAACTTGGATGAGTTTGGTCTTCAAGTTGATGTATTACCAACGTTTTAAATGCATGTGCCGAGGCCTCTAAATTTATGACATATTCTAATTCATTGACATGATAATTAGCTCGATGCTTAATCACAAGTTGGGCGTGATTCTTGGAATGCACTGCAACACATTCTAAAAATGAAAAGAAGATATATATTTAAGACAAAGTTTTGCCTCTTATATATAATTAATGAAAACCCAAATCAATCTACCACGCAACTATCACAATTTGCTTAGATCGGAGTTGATGCATGACGCATAATGCTATGCAACTTGCTCTACCATTACTTTGAATTTGTTTAATTTTCCTTCAACCTTTTTTAAAACATCTCTTTGTGTAGATATGGCAATTTCCTCTGTGACCCGTGGAGTTTTGTGAAGATTTCCGTTATTGGAATGGAAATTCCAAGAATATAGATATTTTTTTCTCATGAAATTTTGCAAGAAATTTCCTCTATCCTGTGGAGAACTATAGGGATCCATATAAAATAAAAATATATATAAAAATTTATTTTTATATATTTTTTGTAATTATATTAACAATTAATTTTTACTTACCCAACTTCATTAGTTAATCCAATACTAATACAACCTAAATTTCACAACCCATTCTTTTTTCAATTTTCCAAATCCAATTGTCAAGTCCAGCCCATTCTTCTTGTCAATCTAGTCTTCCTAAACCTAATTGCCCAACCCAATTTGCATTGGTAACCCTAGAAGGACTATCCAAAGATTTCAATTTCATATTTACGATTCCTCCAACAAATCTCCTTTGCGGCTCTGCACTGTAACTCTATTTTTACTCCTCAATCCTCATCGGTGATTCCCTTCAAGTTCTCACCGTCACTACCCATTGTGCAACCACTACAACGCTGATCTTCTCCCATCTCTTACTCATACTTGACTCCATAGCTCTTCTCCTATCTCTCAACCAGCCACTGGTAACTCATCTTTTTTATGTCATTTTTCTATATGAACTTATTGTTGAACACGTATGGTAGGAGTTTATGTATTTTTTTTCCCTATGAACTTTGCTGATGATAGTTGTAGTTTGTACTTTTTTTTATAAACCTTTTATTGGATTTGTTGGATTTATATGGCAATTTATACCCTCTTTTTTTATGATCTTGTTGCTGACTTGCTAGACCTGCTTGACATATATATGGTGGCTATGTATATTTATTGCTTGTTTGTCTTATTTCAAATTTTTACTTTATGTGATTATTTGAGCTAGTTTTATTTGATGAATATAGAAACCAGTAAAATCTAAGCACTCATGTCGAGCTTAATTTTGATTAACAAGTAGTAGAGTAGGTGATAGTTTTATTTCACAGGGATTTCGAATACCCATGGGAACTTATCATTCCCATTAGGTATGGAGATGGAGGCTATTTTTGAACCTCCACCAAAAATCTTCGTGAAAATCCTCGTACCTGCTATTGACGAAGATGAAGATAAGGAGGGAGTCCCCGCCCCTGTGAGGACCCATTGCCATCCCTATCTCTACATTATAGCCTTATGGAGCATGCATATAACCACATGGAAGAATATGCTACATTTATTATTTTTTTTTTTTTACGGGAGTTCACTTACAAATATAATCCAAGTACGTGTTATCAATCTATAAAGCAACAACTCAGAACCATTAACCCAATCATTATAAAAGCCGGAAATATATATATATATATATATATATATACACTCGAAACATTGTTTTGCAGTTCGGTCAAAATACTATGAAACATGAATTATTAAATAGGAAGAGGACTTCTAATAACAAAAGACCAACCCTTGTCTAATAATTAGTATAATGCAATTCATATTATACCAAACTGTATTATATTTTTTTGTATATATGTAAATATATATAATTCAATTTTTTATATAATATGATATAATAGATGAATATCTACTCTCCTAAAATGAGAAATGAGAGTTGTCCACGATACATAAAGAAGTTAAGATGCTTTCAAACTCTCTTTTAGTTTAATTTCACCATAAATT